TCACCCGATCCGGTAGCGATGGAGACGGGTGGTTCGGAGAACCGGTAGCAAAAATCCCTGCCACCCCCCACCCCCCATGCCCAGCTCAGCAGCACAATCATCAGAGGCTTTTTCTTTTAATTTTTAAAAGCATTTTTTCTACAACCTCTTCGGCCGAAAAAATGCTTTTAAAAGTTAAAAAAAAAGCCTCTGATGTTCGTGCAGCTCAGCTGGATTATCAAAGGCTTTTAAAAGAAAAAAACCCTTTTTTCTTTTAAATGCCTCTAACAATCAGGCAATTCAGCTTGGATCGTCAGAGGCATTTAAAAGGAAAAAAAGTCTCTGCTGATCAGGCAACTCAGCTTGGATCGTCAGAGGCATTTAAAAGAAAAAAAACCCTTTTTTTCTTTTAATATGCCTCTGATGATCCAAGCTGAGTTGCCTGATCGGCAGAGGCATTTAAAAGAAAAAAAGTCAGCTGGGATCGTCAGAGCCTTTTGAAAGCATTTTTTTACAACCTCTTCGCCGAAGAGGTTGTAGAAAAAATGGTTTTAAAAGTAAAAAAAAAAAATTGGCCACGCCCACCGTCACATCACCCCCTCCCACACCAAGCCACGCCCACAGAACCGGTAGTAACAAATTTTAGATTTCACCACTGAGTTATAGCCATTCATTTAGTGACCATTCGAAGCACTGGAAAAACAAGTGGTTTAACTGAAGATGTGCCCAACAAAATACTTCTCACTGGCGCGATATTTTTTTTTTTCTACAGGCAGTCCTCCACTTACAACCATTCACTTAGTGACCATTCAAAGTTAGAATGGCACTGAAAAAAGGGATTTATGAACGTTTTTGACACTTACAACCGGTTGCAGGAAGTGAGTATTGCTAGTCTAAAGAAAAGAAGGACTGGGGAGCGGGGGACACATGATAGCAGTATTCCAATATTTGAGGGGCTGCCTCAAAAGAATTGGGTGATCAAATTATTTTCCAAAGCACCAGAGGACAGGAGAAGAAACAATGATTGGAAACTAATCAAAGAGAGAAGCAACCTGGAATTAAAGAGAAACTTCCTAACAGTGAGGACAATTAACTAGTGTAACAACCTGCCACCAGAAGCTGTGGGTGCTCCATCACTGGAGGTTTTTAAGAAAAGAGTGGACAGCCACTTATCTAAAATGGTATAGGGCAGTGATGGCAAACATTTTTGGCACTGAGTGCCGAAAAGTTCACGCGGAAACATCACATGTGCGCGCACGCACTCGTAGGGGACCGTGCTCTGGAAAAGCAGAACTTCTAGGTTCTAGCGTGCATGCGTGCCGGATGATCAGATGGCCGGGACACATGCAGTTTTCGGCACTTCCGGGCACACGAAGGGATCACGCTCCGGAAAAGCCGAACTTCCGGGTCCTGGCGCACATGCACACCCAACAATCAGTTGGCTGGAGCACATTCGCACACTGGTTTTCGGCACTGCTGGGCGTTCGAAGGACAGCTGATTGTCATGCGAGCATGGGCGCCAGAAACCAGGTAGACAAACAGGCAAGGCCGTGTGTGCCTGTTGTGGCCCGCCAGCAGCCTGCGTGGATTGTTGCTGATCCCAATGACGAGGAGGCTGGTGTGGTGCTGCGCCAGCAGCCTGTGCAGCCAGCGCTTGAGTCGGACAGCAAGGAGACTGAAGAAGATGTGATGCCAGAAGCAGGGATTCAGCCAGGGCCTTCAGAACCTCCAGAGGCTCCTTTAAGTGAAGAGGATGAAGAGGAGGAGCCTCTTCTCAATGCACGGGTGCGCAGAGCTGCCAAAAGGCACGAGTGGTTCCTCAGGAGGAGGTCTCCTCGAGAGTAAGGCTTGGGGCTAATTGGCCACGCCCTTAGCCTATTTAAGAAAGAACGCAGCTTGCAACAAGCTGCAGGAAACAACTTTAGTTCACTAATCATCGTGTTGGGATTTCTCTGCAACCTTGTTTCTGGGCTTTCTGCCAACTCCAGTAAGACTCTGACTATCTTATGTGTGGAATTCTGGCAGGCTGTTAAGAACGCTTATTAACAGCCGGCATTTGCTAAAACTGTGTTATTTGAGTAAACTAAATTTTGTTCAGAGTTTGTGAGTGCTGTGTTCTTTGGGATCTGTAGCTGGGGCAGAACAGTGCTGGGCGACATGGCTTGGCATGCCACTTTGGGCATGTGTTCCATAGGTTCGCCATCATGGGCATAGGGTCTCCTGCTTCAGCCGGGGGTTAGACTAGAAGACCTCCAAGGTCCCTTCCTGCTTTATTCTGATTGACTGTGACGGGCAGACTCCATTATGGTTGTAAGTGGAGGAACTATCTGCCGTAGAACCGTTCGGCATCTCCTCCCCTTGTTTGCGAGACAAACGGAGGGAGAAAGAGGACAAGAGATGGATGACTGACACCTTGTCACTGTCATGTGAAGCTTCTTTACAACGCTGCTCTTTTCCAGATGCGCTTACAAGGATGTTTAAAGATTCATTGTTGACATGCAAACACTGGCCGTGGTTTTTGCATCTGTTACGGGAAACATTAATGTTAACAGCGATGATTTCCACCGTGAAGCGTGGAGGCTCTGAAGGCGAAGACAGCGTGGAAGTGAAACAAGCATGATTCCTCCTCCTATTTCATCTGTAGGCCAGAGCAAAAATCTGCCATGGCAGAGCTGCTGAATGTCAGGCTATGGTTAATGGCTCAGGCGATAGTTTTGCGGGACTGAGTCCTGCGATGTGTCTCCGCTGTTGTTTATTTTAGTATTCCAAGGGTTGCCGCAGAGTGACAAAATGCGTATCGTCTGCATCTTGAAATACTGTACATGTGGACATCTCAATATGTGATTAGAGTTGGGAAGCATGATTCATAACCAGCCATCATAAGCTATCACTATTTCCCTTGGCTTTCCACATCGGCTGTGGACAGCAGACAGAGGGGCATGGAATAATTCAAAACCGCTCATATTTCTCTGTCTCTTTCTTTCTCCTTCTCTCTCTTTCTCCCCCTCCTTCCTTCCTTCACTACCTCCCTCTCCCTTTCTTTCTTTCCTTCCTCCCTCCCTTCTCTCTCTTTCCTCCTTCCTTCCTTCCTCCTTCCCTTCCCTTTCCTTCCTCCCTCTCTCTTTTCCTTCCTCCCTCCCTTCCTTCCTCCTTCCTCTCTTTCCTTCTCTCTCCGTTCTTTCCTTCTTCTTTCCTTCTTTCCTTCTCTCTTCTTTATCCTTCTGTTTCCCTTCCTTCCTCCTTTCCTTCCCCCCTCCCTCTCCTTCCTTCTCTCTCCGTTCTTTCCTTCTTCCTTTCTCTCTCCTTTTTCCTTCAGTCTGTCTGTCTTCCTTCCTTCCTTCCTTCCTTCCTTCCTTCCCTCCCCCTTTCTTCCTTCCTTCCCTTTTCCTCCTCCTCCTTTTCTCCCTTCTCCTCCTCCTCTCTTATTATTTTGATGGGCATTGTAAGGATTTGGATTACTTAAGATTCACTGACATTGTTCACACAAGTTGTCAACTTACAACCATTCTTTTTAGCAATCATTCAAAGTTACACAGGCACTGAAAAAAAGTTACTTACGACCTCACGCTTACAACTGTCACAGCTTTCCCACAGTCACGGGATCAAAATTCAGGCATTCAGCAACCAAATATTTATTTACGACTGTTGTGTGATCGCCATTTGCAACTTTTCCAGCCGTCTTCCAACAAGCAAAGACAACATGGCAAGCCAGATTTGATTAATGACCACACTGATTCATTTACCGTATTTTTTGGAGTATAAGACGCACCTTTTTCCCCCAAAAAAGAGGGTGAAAATCTGGGTGTGTCTTATACTCTGAATGTAGCCCTGCCCAGCTTCTCAAAGGAGGTTTCAGAGGCTGAAAAAAGCATCAGAAACGAAGCTTCAGAAAAAAAGCCTCCAAACAGAGCTTCAGAGGCTTTTTTTTCTGAAGCTCTGTTTCGGAGGCTTTCAGAGGCAGGAAAAATAGTTTTTTCTGAAACAGTGTTTCAGAAGTTTCAGAGGCAGACAAAAAAGCAAAAAAAAAGCAAGGCACAGAGCTCACAACCAAGGAACCTGCTGCTAAAATTCACCTTTGGGAACAGCTGATTGGGGGGTATTTGGAGAAGCCGATCCACCTGCCGATCAGCTTTTCACTTATTTTCCTCCCCAAAAACTAAGGTGCGTCTTATACGCCGGTGTGTCTTATACTCCGAAAAATACTGTAACAACCGTGGCCAAAAAGATAGTACCATCAGGGGCAATCCACTTTTAAAAAATGCCTCGCTTAGCAACCAAAATTCTAGTCCTAGCTATGTTCGTAATCTGAGGACTACCTGAACTCCACAAGGCTCTTTATCTCAAGTAAGAAGAAAGGAAAAATAGCCCAAAAGCGGTATATAAGTCTAAGTGATATTGCTATTGCTGCCCTCCGCCACCTCAAGCTCCCCACTGTCTAATCACGGAAGAGGTCTACCAAGACGTACAACCGCTTGCAAACTATACTACCCAGCTTCGTAGGCTTTTCTCACGTTGCAAATCCTGAGGCCAAAAGCCACTGGCGTCTTACGAAGCTGGCCTTCACCTCCCATCCCCATGATCGCTGGTTTCTGAATTTGGAAGAAAACAAAGAGAAGAAAAATACACCCTCCCCACAGATACCAGGCTCTTGAAAAGAGTCCCTTCCCAGTCCCTTCCAAAGCTCTGAGATCAACCTTTCCCCATATCGTATGACCGAGGCATCTTAATGGCACTTTCCCTTTAAGGAAATTACGATTAATGAAGAGCTAAATTGCAAATCCATTAGGTTTTAAGTCAGCTCAGCAACGCCACGTGGGGTGAGGAGGAGGTGGGGGTGAAGGGTGGGGGTGGGGGGGGACTGGAGAGAGGTTTCATGAATGCTCAAGAAATCCAATAATGTAACCTCTGGTAAAGCTTGAAAAAGCCCTGAAGGACAAGGCAGTTAGATCAATATTAGTTTATTTCAACTGCTGCACAGGACAACGAAAGCAGGGAGAGAAGCATCCAAAGGATTTTATTACCTGTTGGGGAGATAAGCCCCGGCGATAAGAGGCCCGGCACTCCGTGGGGAAGCAAGCGCGTGTTCTCTTGTATCGCAACCCCCAGAGAGCGCTTGGGGGGTCTCCCCGGTCGTGAACTGTTGAAACAAAAGTGAAAATAAACTTTAAGTGCTCTTTTGTCAAAAGGATTTGCATCAGCAATGTACTTTGCATCGATTTTTTTTTTTTTTTTTTCTTAAGGCCGTGACCAGCCGGGTCCTTGCTTGCTGGTTTCTGATTTCTGCTGTCGGAATTTTAACTCTTTCTGGATTCCAAAGTGACCGGTCAATCACCCATTACTTGCAGGCAGGGGTGAAAATCCAGCAGGTTCTGGAGAAACGGTAGCGGAAATTTTTGAGTAGTTTGAAGAACCAGCAAATATCACCTCTGGCTGGCCCCAGAGTGGGGTGGGAATTGAGATTTTGCAGTATCCTTCCCCTGGAGTGGGGTGGGAATGGAGATTTTGCAAGATCTTTCCCCTGGAGTGGGGTGGGAATGGAGATTTTGCAGTATCCTTCCCCAGGAGTGGGGTGGGAATGGAGATTTTGAAAGATCTTTCCCCTGGAGTGGGGTGGGAATGGAGATTTTGTAGTATTTTTCCCCTGGAGTGGGGTGGGAATGGAGATTTTGCAGTATTCTTCCCCTGCCACGCCCACCAAGCCACACCACATCACGCCCACCAAGCCACGCCCACAGAACTGGTAGTAAAAAAATGTGGATTTCACCACTACCTGTAGGCATCCTTAAGGTTTGGTTAACGTAGGAGAGGGACCAGGCTGAGCGCCCGAGGGAGGAGTTAAGGGTGTCATTAGTTTGGAATGCCTTTGCAGGGCGTAAGAGATCTAACTCCTCCAACCCATCTTGAATTCCATTGACTCTTATGTCCCAAAGGTGCTTTTTCAAGAGGCAACTGGACTTTCTTGTTATTCTTTGAAGACATTTTGCTTCTCATCCAAGGAGCTTCTTCAGCTCTGACTGGATGGGTGGGGAATGGAAGGATTTATATTCCTTGCAGACAGCTGGTCATTTGCATTTTAGAAAGTCACTGAGTCCACCATCCAGTCACAGCTTGATGAGTTTCTTGGATAAAAAGTGAAACGTCTCCAAAGAAAAACAAGAAAGTCCACAGTTGTCTCCTTAGAGTAGAGTAGAGTAGAGTAGAGTAGAGTAGAGTAGAGTAGAGTAGAGTAGAGTAGAGTAGAGTAGAGTAGAATAGGAGTAGAGTAGAGTAGAGTAGAGTAGAGTAGAGTAGAGTAGAGTAGAATAGAATAGAATAGAATAGAATAGAATAGAATAGAATAGAATAGAATAGAATAGAATAGAATAGAATAGAATAGAATAGAATAGAATAGAATAGAATAGAATTCTTTATTGGCCAAGTGTGATTGGACACACAAGGAATTTGTATTGGGGCATATTCTCTCGGTGTACATAAAAGAAAAGATACATTCGTCAAGATCTTTAAAAGGGCACCTTTGGGACAACAATGACCTAGATGACTGAGAATCTCCATAGACATTGATTCTTATCGACTACCAATTTGCCTTGACTGTTAGTAGTTCAGATTCTTGTTTAGGGATAGCATAGAACAGCGATGGCTAACCTTTCTCTCATTGTGTGCTGAAAGCCGGCACCCATAATGCAATGCGCCCCTGTAGAGCATGCACACACAAGCCCTCCATGCTCCTCCCATGCATTTGCGCATGACCCCCCCGCCCCTCATTTTTGGCCTAGCAGGCCTCTCTGGAGCCTCCTGGGCCCAAAAACGGATGGGGGGGGGGGCATGCCACTCACCCCACGCGCCATTTTGGGCCTAGCAGGCCTCCCTGCAATCTCCTGGGCCCAAAACCTGACCATGGGGGGGGGTGTTGCACCCCCCGCGTTCCCATCCCCCACACATGTGCACGCAACCGTCCCTCCGTGCATGCACATGTCTCCCGCATGTGCCCCACTCCATGTGCATCCCGAAAATCAGCTGGCTGGTGGAAGGCATGCATGCACATGCACAGTAGAGCTGAGCTGGGCGACGGCTTGCATGCCCGCAGAGAGGGCTCTGCGTGCCAGCTGTGTCACATGTGCCAAAGGTTCACCATCACGGGCATAGAATAAACCTGTGCTCATTTGAACATCCCAGATTCTGGTGTTTCACAGTGAAAGGGTGCAACAAAAAATGTAAGGGACATCCCCTGTGAGCAAATAAAAAGACTAAGTATTTCCTTGCTCCTGATGATTTGAGGCAGGGGTGAAATCCAGCAGGTTCTGACAGGTTCTGGAGAACCGGTAGCGGAAATTTTGAGTAGTTCAGAGAACCAGTAACGGAAATTTTGAGTAGTTTGGAGAACCGGTAAATACCACCTCTGGCTGGCCCCAGAGTGGGGAGGGAATGGAGATTTTGCAGTATCCTTCCCCTGGAGTGGGGTGGAAATGGAGATTTTGCAGTATCCTTCCCCTGCCACACCCACCAAGCCACGCCCACCAAGCCAGGCCACACCTACAGAACCGGTAGTAAAAAAATTTTAGATTTGACCACTGATTTGAGGCCAAATCAGGTCTACATCATGCTGGTGTAGCTTACTTTTTATTTATTTGTTTGTTAAATTTATATGCTGCCCATCTCACTCTGCAAAGCAATTCTGGGCAGCCTACAAGTAAAATCATAAATATTAAAAATATTTACAACATTAGATACAGAAATAGAGCATCAAAGGCGGGATTATTTTGAGTCTTCTAGCAGCCCTGTGAGGGAGGCTGTCGAGCCCTTTTAACTCTGGAGAGTCCTATGGAATACAATACAGGATAATATGATATAAAATATGTTGCACGGATCAATACCTTTCATCCCATCTTGGTTTCCAGCCAGAAGAGACCTGATCTTATGCGAGGCCTCAAATCAATTATTTTTCACTTCTACGCAAGTCCACATTCAACCATGTTCAACAAATGAGTAGGAGCCTCACTGGATAGGACTTACAGAAGGTGAGTTTTGCTTAAATACCAAAGTTCTCGCAACTACGAGTTCAGACATTTCTGGGGGCTTGCCAAAAAAAAACAAAAACAAAAACACAGCATGATCATTTTTTTTAAAGTTTCGTCACTGATCATCCCAACACTTTGGAAGACTGTGCCTCCCTAAATGTACCAAAATGAATATCATTTTGAAATTCACCTTCTGCAAGACAACTTAACAAACAGCCAAGACATTCATACTGTTAGAAGTTTTTAAAGCCTTTAATTGTAATTTTCTTTCCTGCAACTTAATTCCATTATGTCATGTTCAGTAATCTTGGATACTAAGGAACAGGTCCTGTATTCATCCATCCTTCCATCCTTCCTTCCTTCCTTCCTTCCTTCCTTTCCCTTCCCCCTGTCCCTCCCTCCCTCCCTCCTTTCCTTCCCCCCTCCCCTTCCTCCCTCCCTCCCTTCATTCCTTTCTTCCTTCCCCCTCTCCCTCCCTCCCTCCCTTCCCCCCTCCCTCTCTACCCCCTTCCCTGCAGTGGTGGGTTGCCAGGGGTGAAATCCAATTTTTCCCCCTACCGGTTCTGTGGGTGTGGCTTGGTGGGCGTGGCAGGAGAAGGATACTGCAAAATCTCCATTCCCACCCCACTCTGGGGCAAGCTAGAAGTGGTATTTGCCGGTTCTCTGAACTACTCAAAATTTCTGCTACCGGTTCTCCAGAACCTGTTAGAACTTGCTGGATTTCACCCCTGTGGGTTGCCTGCGGTTCAGACCGGTTCGCAAGAACCGGTAGTAAAACCGGCGGGAGGCTCCGCTCACTGACCCGGATGTCATCATAAGTGATCTGCACATGCACAGAAGAGCGTGCGTGCAGGCACGGTAGTAAAGGTAAGTAGAACCCACCCCTGCTCCCCTCCCTCCCTTCTCTCCCTTCCTTCCTTCCCCCTCCCTCCTCTCCTCTCCCTTTCCTTTCCTTCTCCCTCCCTTCCCCTTCCCTCCCTTCCTTCTCTCCTTCCCTCCCCCCTTTCCCTTTCCTTCCCTTCTCCCTCTCCCTCCCTCTCTCCTTTCCTTCGTTCCTTCCTTAGATTTATATACTACTTCAGAGTTGTTTCTATGTCATCACCAGGATCTAACTTAACTACAGGTAGTCCTCAATTTACAATCATTCATTTAGTGACCGTTGAAAGTTACAACGGCACTGAAAAGAGTGTCTTATGACCGTTTTTTTTTTTTACACTTGTGACCGTTGCAGAATCCCCATAGTCACCTGATCAAATTTAAAATACTTGGTAACTGGCATGTATTTATGATGGTTGCAGCATCCATCATAAGAAGTCATTTCGCACCTCTTCTGACAAGCAAAATCAGTGAGGAAGCCAGATAGATTCACTTAACAACTGTATTACCAACTTAACAACTGAGGGATTCAACTGTGGCAAGAAAGGTCGTAAAATGGAGCAAAACTCATTCAACATCTTGCTTAGCAACAGAAATTCCGGGCTCAATTGTGGTCATAAGTCGAGGACTACCCAGGGGTGGGCTTCAGATCCTTTAGCAACCAGTTCACTACCCTGTTGCTGGGTGGGCATGGCCATGGTGGGCGTAGCCTAGTCAGCCGCCTGCACTGGGCAGGGGCATTTTTCACCCTCCCCAGGCTCCAGAGGCTTTTTTCGAGCCTCCGGGAGGGTGAAAACAGCTTCTCCCAGGGTCCGGAGGCCGGAAACAGACCTGTTTCCGGACTTCCAGAATAGTTTAGTTAGTTTAGTTTAGTTTATTATATTTATATACCGCCCTTCTCCCAAGGGACTCAGGGCAGTGAACCGCCATGGTAAAAACAATATACAAGAAAAATTAAAAGCTTATTAAAATAATTCAATCATTCAAATTTAAAACATCCAACTAAAATCATTTTAAAACCTCCGGTAGGCCCATTTTTTGCCCTCCCAGACCATCCGCGCGGCTCCTGCACTTACCTGGAATGAACGGGCCGCGTGGAGATTTCTGGGAGGGGCGGGGTAGCCATCCATGGGTGGCATTTGGGGGTTCGCTGAACCCCACGATCCTTGGCTAGAGAATCGCCCAAACTCTGCCGAACCCCCAGGAGCCCACCCTGGGACTACCTGTAAAGAGTATTTTTACCATT